GATAGTCTAGGCCTATAGCAGCATAACTAAGAGATGGTTCAGGACTCACCTGATCCAGCCCTAACTATAAGCTTTATCAAAGAGGAACGTTTACACTATTACATGTGAATAGATGGCTGATGCTGACTGTTGTGTCTAGACAGTTATTTCTGTTACCTTTTGTGTGAATTGACATTATGTGCATTTCTTCTGAGCTCTTGCTCACACAGACTATGACCTAGTTAACCCTTCTTAAGTCCCGCTCCTTTTTGCTCTGTGAGGATGAGAGGGAAGCTGAAAGCCATTATGGACAACCCCTCTCATCCTCTCTACACTGAGCTGAGGCAGCTCAGGAGCACTTTCAGCCACAGACTGTGTATATATTTTCTCTTCTATCTTGATATTTGGTGAACTATTTTGTACACATGACATCTATTGCATGTCTGTCCATCTTGTTTCTGATTTGTGATATCGGGCTATATAAAAATAAAATTTACTTGACTAATATGTTCAGCAGCTACCTCTAACTGTCTCTTAGCTGTCTGGATGCTGTGCAGGTACTGTACAGTGTTTGTAGACCTCTGTCACTGACAACAGCTGCCTGCGAAAATAAGGTTAATAAAAAAGCAGTATGGGGACTGGAAACCGGAGGATTTATCATTTTGAGTGACCCCTTTCACATTACAGTCATTTCATGTCAATGAGTGCAGGTAGCATTTCCCTGAAAAAGTTTTAATCATGCAACATTTTATCTCATAAATGGTGACAATTGTCTAACTTACAGGTGGGGTAAATGATTCTGAAGAAATCCAATAGCATGACAAATACCCTGATACAGTGCAAACAACGACAACTAGTAATGTAAATTAGGATAGCTATGTTATGGGTTAGCAAACTGTCGCTACAGTTGCTGCTGTGCAGACAGTTTCCCAGAGCCAGCACACCAGCTCCAGACAGCGATACTTACAACTCTCCTACTAAAATAGTTAACATCACAAGTAGTGATGTAAAAACACACTCAACTCACGTCATTTTGTTTTGTCAATATGATTTCTCAGACAAAAAGCTACAAAATATATTTCTTCCTCATATTATGAAATATAATCTTCTTCTGAGGTAGGATATAAACTGTGCAAAACAATTTTTCCTTTTATTTGTGAAACTGGCATCTTGCGGTCGACGTACAAGACGCCAATGAATAAGCAAAGTCAAAAGTAGATAGCTGTTAAAAAAAAGAGCATCAAGGTACATTTTTAATCTCACCAATTTAAGTCTCCACACAATTGCATCCCAATTTAACTGTCTCGTGTTATATCATTACTACGGGTGTGCATCTCTCCCTTCTAAGATGACCCCATACGTATCCAGATACATGGGCTATGATACGATTCAGAGATGATGCATTTTAATATGGAACCATCAGATTGCATCATATCAAATTAGTTCTAGACATGTACTTTCCATTTTAAATCAAAATAAGCCAATTCTATAAGTGTCATTGCTTACCTTCAAATACACATTTTTTATAGAATACCAGGGAGTCCCAAGAATTTTTTCTTTATGGGAAAAAAATGGAAGACAAATATATCATTTCAGAATTATATGTCATTGTGTTTATTGCTTGTTCAATAGACAGAGACAAAAAAAATACTTTCCGCCATGATTACCTTAGACCTCGCCCAGTTGTGGCTGAAAATTGTTTAACATCTGTGTTTTGCATGTTCTTGCTTGTGCTAGCTGTATTAGCATCCACAGACTCCTCGTGGCCTGCATAGGTGTCACCATGCCGTCTTACCAGGTGAATGTTAAGAGTTGTTGTGATACCGCTGTACTTAATAGCTGTCTGATCTGACAGATCTTTTTGTCCCTTCTTATAGAAACCAAATGTATTCCAAAACGCGTTGGTGTTGTCGGACATGTATGTCTATGTACCCACTCTCGTTGTTTTTGTCGTGAGACCCAGGACATGACCTTTTACCTTTCATGAGAGCGGAGATGCTGTTAACAGCAAACTTCAGTCAACCAATTCATAACTTTAGAATCGGACCATCGACCAGTTCATGGTACATTTAGACCAATCCAGGGGTCTGCGTGCTGATGTAGAAACACTGGATCTTCACACAGAACTGAAAGCTACATTGAATATGCAAAAAGTGTATTGTATTAGAATTGCATTACCTACAATGGCTTACCCCACCTTTACTCAACTGAGCAGAAACATTAAGGCACTCCTGGGTCATTTAAAGCTCTGTTTAGCCCCTGTGTGTAATAATAATAATAATAAAAATCAATTAAAAATTCCAGACGTCGACGACTCCTACTGGTAGGGTCAAAAGAGGCACTATAGCAGACAGCAGTGCATGCTGGAGCTACTGTAAAAACATTTATATTTGTCCTAATTAAAATACACAAAAATACACATCTAAAATCAATAAAGTAAAACAAATTATATGATTGGCAAAATAGCAAACTAGGCCCTGAGTAAACTGTGTGTGTGTGTCCAAGAGATCCTGGAGTCATCTTGGAGACAGAGGAGTCATATCTACAATGGAAAAAATACAAACCTTTAATTAATCCCAAATAGGATCCTTTAATAATACAGCAGAGAAGGTACAGACACTGTGCCTCTGGAAGATTACTATGTGTCTACACAGAATAATCAATCTGACAATTTACTTATATTTGTTATAATATTGTGTTGCCCAGTGAACTATTGCAAACAAAAGACTAAACGCAGTTTCCTTTAAAGGGTTATGATATCCGGTGACTTTACCTCTGAGGAGTGGAGGGGGGCAGTTAGCCTTTATCAGGTTGCTCTGAGACAGAGCGTCCGTCATCCAGGTGAGGGCGCTACAACAGTATTCCAGCTGGGAGAGAGACAGAGACGGATGAGTGCTGAGCAGGCAGAGCTGACAGCTGCAGAGAAACCAGACACACCATGTACGCACACACTCTCTACACATAGATACTATACAGACCATGCATGCAGGGACCGGACACAATTAAACCTGAACACCTGAAACACCTACTAGATTTAGCCAAAAAGGGGAGAGTCTTTATTTTGTTTGACTTAAAGCTGCAGTAGATAACTTTTATAAAAAAATATTTTCACTTTATCCTGGCAGTAGTACATGAGACAGATAGTCTGTTAAAAAAAATCTGGTTTCTCTGCTCCTCCCAGTGCTCCTAATGGCATTTGCATGAATCCAACCAGATTTCGCAGCCTTTCTTTGGGATTGTTGTGTCCCAGAATGCCTGATTTCACAGCAGATTTTGGAAAACATTTCAGTGCATGTTGCAATGTTTTTATGCATTTTTTCCTATTAAATTGTGGAAGAAAGTCATAATGTCAAAAACAGTTTTCTAATAATTTTTTGGTATACTCTAAAATTTAAGGCAATTTGTTACAATGAGAATAAAATTGTTCTAGCTAGTAGTCTGGTGACGTATGGCTCAATATTGTGTACAGGGGGCTGCTATGATTGTTGAAATGCACAACTACAATGATTGGAAAAATTTGTGGAATAGTTGCGATGATTTGACCAAATTGCAAGGTTGCGCAAATACTGACGCTTTGGGTGGGAGGCTTGAAGATAGTTGATTATTGAGTCTCATTCCAAGGTCGTAAATGATTTGTATTTGATGACCTAGGAATAACACTCAAAAATCAACTATTTTTCTCAGCTCTAAATGGTTGTTTTCGTTCAGGCCCGGTGGATTCTTGAAAATGCCATTAGGAGCACTAGGATGATCACAGATTATCTGTCTCATGTACTACTGTCAGGATATTGTAAAAGTTTCAGCAAATATGACTTACAGCGGATTTAATCAGGAAAATTTTATTCATACAATAGATTCAAGGACAACCTGTTGAATATTCAGTTTTCCACTGTGCTGAAGAAGCACCAAAAGCCTCTTGCTCGGATATTT